TTTTTCCAAAATTATCGTATATATCCGATAGTTACCAGCAAACAATTATACCAAAAATGAAAAGTAATGATACAATCTAAAATTGGAATTTATAAAAAAACTTGTTCTTGCTTTCTTTTCTTTCGAAATTTGGAGTTTTTGTAGAAAAAACGTAGACGGTAAATAAATTATTTAAGAAAGAATTATATTTGTGTTTTTATATATATATTTTTTAAAGTTTAAGAAGATGAAATTTAAAATGAAAAAAATAAAAATAAAAATGTATTTGTGGGTTGGACCAGTTAATTGACGGGTCCCAACCCGACTTTATAATAGTTAAAATTAACCGAACACCGAACCAAACCGATTTTTTTGGTTCAAACCGACCCAACTCGGTTTGGTTCGGTCAGTTTGTTAGATTTTTCGATTTTTTTGCCCACCCTTAATTTTGGGCTTAACTTTAAGATAGTCTTTATACACAATTAATTACATATGTCGGCCCACATGACAAATTAAACAATTTCCCAACAAGTATATCATATGATGTAAGGTATTCTTTAACCTCCTGTCTGACATGATGTAGTGAATCGCAATATTAACTATACACCAATTTATTTTTAATAATAATGCATTTGTATTCGGAAACCATTCATACTCTTATAATCAAGAATATCTCGATTGAAATATATATTAGTTACATGTCCGATGGTCGTGATATTGTACGCTCAAGTTACATATCATCTTTCTTACTGCTCACTGCTATGCTATATAATGGTTTCTATATATTCAGTTGTTAATGTAATGTGTAGTAGTATGTAGTGCGAATCAATTTATCTTCATTCTTATATTAATAGTAAATGAATCTGTTAAAGATGCATATGTTTCAACTGTTTGCATTTGTTTTTACATCCTATATAGTATATTCCATTTTGAATGAATATACAAAAAGAATGAGAGTTTTACGTCAACTCCGGTAACAGGGTTGGTGGAAGGAAGCCTTACAACACCTGCAAGTTTTCTCTGATGCAGCTCTCAATTGTTTGCCGTGCTTATACAATTGGATCTCATTTTATACTGAATAATTCAATAGTTTATAATTTTCTGTTTATCCAAACTCAAAAAGTGTGTGGTTAACTTCCAGATGGATGCAATATATCAATTGAATGCCAATGACACTACAATAGTAAGAAGTTATAGACACTGCTGTCAAGGAGAATAGGTTGGAAATTACATTACAAATCAATAATAATTGATCCAAAAAATCATCAATAATCTTGAATGCATCCTTGTCCAAATCTGTCTTGTTGTTCGACGTCGCAGAGTCCTTCAAGTTTGTTTCATGACCAGAGTAGGCAATATTATTGTATACTAACCATCAATCACAAGAATTCCTCCATCTTTGAAGCATTTTGTAGTGAATTTGCACTAAAAAAACATGGACAAAATGCCAATGAATCAATTTATAATACCTGACTAAGATGTAAAACTTTTATATGATAGGGGAACTAGACAAAGTATTAAAATATATTTATCTTCCATTTATCTAATAATTTTGATTGCATGTACCCTCCCCAGTGATGCCCTCTCCATAATACACTAGTGATTTGAACTTCTAAATTTGCTTCACATGATCACATCCACAACCCTGGCCACAAAACCCATTGAACTTACCATTATGTGAAGGGAACAAATAATAATTTGGGATGACAAAGAAAGAACAGACGACTACTTACAATACAGAAAGCAATGATTCGAGGAAACAAAGAAGCCACGAGAATGGATAAAAAATTGAGGTGCCATACGATTGCTCGACTACTATATCAGAAGATGAATCGTGTGTCCTTTGTAGTCTTTGCCTTCTCTACTTCTGGATTTTTCAATTTCCTTTATTTGCATATTATTTTCACCTTTTATTTATATGGAACAGTAATGTAGAAATGTGATATAAATAAAAAAATGAATTTGGACTTGAATAAAAAAAAATTAATTTGAATTTGCATATACTATGCAATTGTAATTAATTATTGTGTGATGTAAGTCATTTATTGAAATGAAATTAATGCATCGAGTGATGTAAGTCCGTTACAAATTTTGAAATGGATGAATTCAAAGTCAGTATTTTTGGTGTTTTTTCTTTCATTATATAGTAATATTTAAAAATATATCATTCAATAGTATAGTAGAACATGTTATTTTTTTTATTGGGTATATGTGGTTTTTTTTCCTTTTGGGAATTATATGATAAAAATTGGATGACTAAATCCATTTCTAAATTCCGATCAGCAGTACCAACATTCCAACCATCTTGAAGGAAGAGATTGTTAAGAATATTGGGTCCAACTCCACCTAATAAAACCGGCTTATTATGGGAGGATTGCCCTCACCTTATTAAGTAGATAATTTATATTTTCCCAAACAATGTGGGATTCTAATACTCCCCCTCACGCATAGCGTG